CCACCCCCCCCACCCCCCCACCCACCACACACACACACCACCCAGTTTTCAAATGTAACATCAGTAACGATGGTACTTAAAATAAAAAAAAAAAAAAATGTAGTGGAACAACAGTAGATAATTTCCTTTTGATTTTACATAAGTAAAAAATAAATATTTTTTAGAGTACTTAAGTAACAGTAAATCCTAGAAAAGTTACTTGTGTTACTTCATTACTCCCTTGGTGTTCTTTGCATCTTATTTCTAAAGAGCAAGATGTTTGTCCTATGTATTTCTTGCCACATTCACAAGGGATACTATAGATGCCGTGCTTTTGTTCTTTGGGTAGAGATTCTTTTGCATTAGTAGTAAGATATTAATTTTATGAGAAGGTCTGTATACAGTTTTTACGTCACTGCTCAAATTATTAAAAAGTTTAGTGATTTCATTTGTCATTTCTGGAAGAAAAGGGAATGAAACAGATTTATTGTGTTTTTTGTTATTGATAGGTGAAAGGAATTAGTGTGACATTCTTTATGTTTTTAAGTTTAATGAAAGTCCTGTCTCTGATGTTAGGACTGAAACCTCTAGATAGTGCTGCATTCTTTAGGTAGTTTAATTCTGTTAGTAGGTCTTCTTTGTGTATGCATAGTTGTATGGCACAAGTTACATAGGTGAAGTAGGAGGATATTTTTTGTGGTAGTTGGTGATTAGATCTTATGTGTGGTGGGATGGTGATGGAATGAGGTTTCCTGTTTACACTGTTGATCACTTGGTTGTTTTCTGTTTTTATATTAACATCCAAAAATGGGAGGCAACTGTTGGATTCTGTTTCATGTATGAACACTATGATATTGGGTCTTAATGTATTAAGGAATTCAAAGAAAGTAAGTAGTGCATCTTTTCCATGTTGCCATATATTGAATATATTATCAATGTATCTTAGTCAGATTTCAGGTTTGTGTGTGTGTGTGTTTGAATATTTTTCCAAACAGTTCTTCTAAATCATGCATGTAGAGGTCACTAAGTATAGGAGAAAGGGGGATTCCATCACTAGTCCATTATTTTGTTTGTATAATTGGTATTTGTATGTAAAATTCTGTATTCTGTGAGTTTGATTAGGTGTTCTGTTTCAGGATTGGCTTTTAGTTTGTTTTTTTAGGCAGTGTAAAGCTTGTTCTGCGGGTATGGAGGTAATTTGAAATTTTATGTCAAAAGATACTAAAATATCTTCTTGATTAAGTTTGAAGTTTTTTGATTCTGCTGACAAAGTCCAGGGAGATTTTAAGAGAATGTGGGCTAGTTTCAAGTGGAGGGTTTAATTTTTTGACTAAGTATTTAGTGACATTTTGTAGTGGTGAGCCTATGCTTGATACTATGGGTGTGTAAGGAATGTTATCTTTGTGAATTTTTGGAAGGGCATAAAAACGAGGGTGGAGGGGGTGATAATGTGTGGGGATGAGGAAATTTGTTTCTTTAGCAGTGAGGATAGGGTTATCTTTAATTAGTTTTTTAATGTTTGAATGAACTTTGTTGATAGGGTCATGTTTGAGTACAGTATATGATCCATCATTTAATAAAGTGTTGTACCTGCTTTATAATGTGAATTATATACTACTACATGTAACAACCTTTATCAGCTCTCATTATGTATGTATTATTGTTAGATTTTAGTTCTTTTAGGGCATTGACTTCATTTCTGTTAAGTCTGGGTTTTAATTTTATGTCCTTATATGTTGTATGTCTAGAGTGTATGTTAATCCTGATTTTTTTTCTGCTTCATTTAAAGAGCTGATGTTAGATTCTGTGGTGGCAATGATTTGCTCAATAGGTACACTTCTAGGTTTAAGACCAAAGTCTGATTGTTTGTTAAAGGTTCACTAGAGATGTTTATAACTGAAGGGGGAAGATTAATCAGTTTGAAATTTTACACCTCTTTCTTCTGGTTTTCTATCAGCTTCTTGAGTTTTGTTTTTGTTGGCCCTTTTCTTTTCTGCAGTATTGGTTGATCTAAACCAGCTGGAGTAGTCCAATCTTCTGGGATTAGTTTGTTGGCAAGTTCTAGGTGTTTCCAATAGAATTGTACTTTTAATTTGGAGATATTTCTTCAGATGGCTTTTATGGTGGCTCGTAAAATTGCAAATTTGATTTTCTTGACCTGTCGAGAAGTTGTAGAACACTTAAGTTGAACGAAACTGGGGATGACTGGATGTTTTACAGTTTAACAGGAACCTTAAATGTTCTAAGTTCTCTCGGTGTTATATTCTAAGCTTAGTATTAATCATACCTGAAGAAGACAGACCAATGTTCTGTCAAGTATGTAGTATGTTCCACCATGAATAAAAAATTGTCCTTATGCGTATAAATTGTTGTGTGCCTACCTGTTGATGGGACTTTCTCTTGGAACTCTAATCACTCTCTTTTTTTTTAGCCCCTAGTTTTTGACTCATCTTTTCTCTAACATCATCAGACCTTTCTGGATTATGATATTGTCTGGACATTTCTGTGTTTTGAGTTATTGCCTTCTTATCCATGTCAGAGTACTCAAAACAAGTATTCATAATATTTAGGTTATGGTCTGCTATAATGGTTATATTGTTGTTTTTTTTTCTCATGTTGTTGGCCAAGAATCATTGAGTTTTTATACCTTGTACCCTTATATTCCTTTTTTTTCCTCCCCAAGACGTGGTTGATACAATAAATGGCCAAGTGTTTTCATCTGCTGCCCTTTTTCTTTTTCTGTAACCTGTCGGAGCTTCTTGTTGCTACATGAAGC